TTCTTTCTTTCCTACTTTCTTTCTTTCTTTCATTCTTCCTTTCTTTCCTTCTTTCATTTCCTTTCTTTCGTCCCTTTTTTTCTTTCCTACTTTCTTTCTTTCTTTCATTCTTCCTTTCTTTCCTTCTTTCATTTCCTTTCTTTCGTCCCTTTTTTTCTTTCCCTTTTACATATCAGTAAGTAAGTATATTAGTGAGACGCCTAAAAACCCGAATACATCGACACTCAAATGGCTTCCAAGCGTCCCGATTCGCTGTCACCATTATTCTCTTCTCTGATCTGACTGGTCCAATAAACACGGAAGCCATTTAAGAGCTACAGAACAAAGGTCTCCAACTCCTGTCTACTCTAAAGCCAACCTTAAATGAGCAATTACTGTTTTCCTTAGGTTTTATGGAAGCGTTCTATCATAATCAAGATTTCCCCAACATTGTAAACATTTATTTTCACATCAAAACAAATTGATTCGAACAGACATATGATATTTTGTCAAACTTCATTAAAACATTTTCCTAAATTTAATGAAAACAGCCAAGAATGTCAAATAAGATTGACGAAATGTTCTAGAAAAACAGAAACACTTCGATATTCTAATTTCCTTTTTTTAATAACTTGCACATTTTGATTTCAAACAAACAATGTCGGGTTCTTAAATAATTTTCCTAGCGTTTCTTCCAACATTTTGTCTCATTTTTCTTTTTTCATGCGAACAATGTTCTTTTAATCGTTTCCCTTTAGTCTGCAAATACGTCATAGGGCAAAAATTTGTCGTTAAACTCCAATATGTCGTCTTTCTATACAGTATAGCTTGAATGTTTCCTTAATTGCAAGCTTTCAAAGTAGCTTTTTCTTATCTACTTCCTCTTTCCTGACCTTTATTTTTTATATCTTTTCTCTTGTGTAGGAGTTTGATTACAACCCGTTTTCGTAGTTTTCTGTCCTCTTTCTCGTTTGCTTTGTAATGTACGCTCACTAAATCCCATTTTTGCCATCGGACGTTTATGCTCATGATATAAAACTGATTTAGGTTCCATGTGAGACAACATTTTTCCACCAAAGACTAAGTAAGAGGTTATAGAACCATGRAAAGAAATACGAATCACAGCAAAATCTTCCTTTCGTGTTGGAGCACGAAAAAATATTCATAGCATATATGTTATTGCGAACATTCTTGCTTCGAGCGTCTTTCACTTAAAGTTTGCTTAAAGCGCTTATGACGAAGACGAAGAAAGGGCTTAAGCCGTTTGACAAGCTATATGCTTATTTTAGAGGATGTGAAGTCGTAACAAAGTGGATGTTTTTTTTATGCTTCAAGAAAGAAATAAACGTCTATTGTACTAAGTAAGCTCGACCTTAAAAGCTTTGACAAAAAGTAACACTGAAAAACATGGGGGAAAAGTCACCATGCAAACGTACCAGATTAAATCTGCCCTTTGTTCTGTCACGTGCACGGATAAGATGTAAACAGCGATAGAAGGCTCGTTAAGATTTAGGAAGGTTTTGGGTAAATATTTCTTCACACTACGCAGCCGTGTTGTAGTTCTAAGTATTGATGATAACACACACTAATGATTCAGTGTATTTTTCTTACTTTCCTACCTTCCTTCCTTCCTTCCTTTTTTCTTTTTCTCTTTCTCTTCTAATCCCTTTTTTTTCCGCCCTACTTTTCTTTCTTTTTTTTTTTGTTGTTGCTAGCTTTCTTTCTTCTTGCTCTCTTTCTTTTCTACCATTCTTTCTTTTTCTTTCTTACATTTCTTTCTTCCTTCTAGTTTCCTTCCTTAATTCTCTCTTTCTTTTCTTCACTTGCTTCATTTTTTCTCTTTTTCTTTTCATGGACATCGGAATCAGTCTGTCCATATATTTCACTGAACTTACAACACTTTTTATAACATAGCCACGAGATAACGCGCGCTTTGATTGGTTAATTAGCGTGCGCGAGCGTGCATCCAGAAATGGATGGTGCACGCTGACGCCATAAAACGAAGATTTCGTTAGAGCAAATTTGAATTTTTGATAAACAAATATTTTTTACGGTTTTGCTATGTTATAAAAGCAATGGTCAATGCTTAGTTGTGCGTACGTTGCTTAAGCACTCAAAAAGCTAGAGTTAGCTAGACTCTTACGCTTCTTGAGTGCTTAGCAACCTCCCGCATGCATCCAGAACTTGATATACGCACGCTAAGCATTGACCATTCCTTAAAAAAAGAATGGGTCAATTGGTACTGAGTATTAACTGAACAAAATAAAAGATACTCGAAACTGTACAAGATTCGTGGGCTCAAGCGTTGCATGCAGTTACACTTACAACACATCTTAATATGTCTATTGTTCTAATACAAACATTCTAACACCTAGACACTGAGTACAAACCAACAGACAGAGTGCAAACCATTAGAGTGCACCCCGGGGGGGGGGGGGGGGGGGGAAACCCCCCCCCAACTTGGGGGGGGGGGGGCCCCCAGG